CATAACAACAGCTTGGAAACTTTTCCTACTAAAGTCTCCCATGTAGAAACGGATGGGAGAATAACAGCAACTCATGGCTAGATTTACTTCTGGCCTTTCCTTCAAGAGCTCAAGTCAATGTTCTTAATGTTGCACCTTCTAGTTTCAATTCCCACAACAAAGGCTAGTTCAGTAACCAGATTCATGCAACATGCTGAGTGGGTTTTCTCAATTAGTCTATTTTCTGGGTTTGCATCACACGTAATATCTGGCATCCTAAACCACTCAATGGTGTGAATGGCCAACTGGGTACGTATCTACCAAATAAAATCCATAACCAGGTTTAGCAGGTTGTGCAAACGTCACCGCTGAGTTTCAGGCTGGATGTCTGCTCTCTTTGATCCTCTACACAGGGAGTGAGCAGGTATCTCAGAAAGAACATGCATCCAGGTCGTTCTCGACTTACAACTGGACGCTCAGAAACTGTTCAAAGTTCCACGGAATGCAACATAGCTACCTACGACCCAGATTTGAAGTTTTGACAGCTGCTCACCCCAGTCATGTGATAAGGGGGCTGTTTCACATGACCAGGGCGGGCAGCTGTCATGTTTGGAATGCTTGGCAACTGACCAGCATTAATGGCTGTTCGCAGCATCCCACAGTCACACGACTGTAATCGATGACATTTTTGCTGGAGACTGGCAGTTACTTCTGGTGTCCAGCAAAAATAAACGTCCCATAGAGAACAGTGAGTTTGCTTTATGACCACCGCAAAAAATGTCATTAACTCGGATCAACCTCTGAACCATCTTCACGACTTGTGGGCTCAATTACGGTGTAAGCCCGGGACGACCTGTGATGTAAAGGGCAAATTAACTTTCAGGAGTGTCCATCTGAAACCGCTGCAAAACCTTGCATGGTTTCATTGCAGGAAGAGAAGGAGAAAAAGCGAGCTGGAGGCCATTCTCAAAGGACTGAGCTGCAACGTGCATCGGGCTGTCCTGCAGAACTAAGGACAGCCACCTGAGGACATGACCCCCTAAATCCCAGATTCTTCTTGTGCCAGGCAACACTAAACTTAGCTGCTGATATAAGGAGGCTGTGTCAGGCCTTCCAGAGGAAGCAACTCTGCCAACAACTACTCTGGGCAAATGCCAAGAGCGAAAACTATAGGCACTTCAACACACCACAATACATATACACACCTGCATTCCTCAAGCACACGGTTTCCCTGCACCCTTCAATTCATGCCCCATCAATACCAGCCAGCATGTCCAGTACAGTAATTTTCTTGGAAAGGGTGAAGGTAGCTGCCAACTAAGATACCTGAAAGGCCTTGGGCAAAGCAGGACTTTGAGATTCTTCGTTTGGATCCATACAATATTCGGGCTAAACTAAGCTAAACTAGGGTTAATGATACAGCATGTGGCAACCCAGCCATTATTTGATAGATTATGTGAAGTGCAGATAGTACTCAACTTATGACCATAGTTGGACCAGATTTCCTTGCGAAGCAAGGCAGTTGGTAAGTGAGTCGCACCTGGTTTTATGACCTTTTTGCCATTGTTGTTATGTGAATCACTACACTTGTTAAATGAATCCAGCTTCCCCCGGTGCCAGAAGCCAACTGGCTTGGCTGCAAATGGGGATCATGTGACTGCAGGACAACCACAAACATTGTAAATACACGCGGGTCGCCTAGGGCAATCCTCACTTGACCATGGGGGTGCTAGGATGGTCATGCAAGTGTGTGGTCCAGTCATAAGTCATTTTTGCTAAATAAATGGTTGTTAAGTCGAGGTCTACCTGTAAGACCAGTATTTCGTCAACCTTAGCAACTTTAAAACACATGGACTTTGTTCTAGGCTTCCGAGATCGTAATTACCCACACACTTATTTTAAAAACAAGTTTTGTTTTATTGCAACGCTGGGAATTATTTTCATTCCCAGCTGGTAATGAATTCTCAAAGAGTCCCTCGAGATAAGCACCCACCTTTCTTTCCTGTGCCAATAACAGAAGGGTCAAATAAACTAGAACAAAAGCCAACCGAAGTACAAAGAGCTTCAGGAATGAATCTGAACCGAACAAACAACTTTGCTTCCTGCAAAGGTTTCGTCATCTTTGCTTGTCCTTTATTCCTTATGGGAGGAGCAATCACCCCCAAGCCTTACTCCCGAATCACCCCTTTTGTTTCAGCTTCTCTCACCTTCTAGCAGCTCTGGGCACACGTGCACTGGGAACAGGCTCCCCTGGGTCCTCTGCCTTGCTGCTGCCAGACTCTGAAGGCTCCGGAGTCAGCATCCCACTCCCAGATGGTCCTGGCCCCATCTCTGCATCGGATGCAGGACCCTCACCCGAGTCCTCTCCAGACTCCCAGACTGATCCCCGTTGTTCCCCACTGTCCGATTCTGCTGCCATCTGCACAGGCTGCCGGTGAACCACAACAGACTTCAACTTCCAGAATTCCCCAGTCAGTGTGATAAAACATAATTCATTTCTGTTCGGTGAGGGTTACATATTATGGGACTCCAGTGTTTTATTCACATGGGCTTATTGTGGTTGTTTGAACCCAGAGTCAGGAAAAGCTTTTACAAAAACTTCTTTCAAAAAGAGTCCCTGAAGCTTGGCTGAATGAACTCATTTATTCATACACTCTTTGCTCTTATAATTTTTTTTCCCTTTTAAAGGCCAATCTACGCAAAGAGAACACACATGATTCTAGCCAGAAGACTGAATTATTCCAGGCAATTATTAAAAGTTCCTGGTTCGTTGGTTTAACAATGGAAACCTCATGCTTCTGAGATCAAACCCATGCTCAGCCCTGAAAAAATCTGACCATTTTATAGATTGTAACATGATGCTTTTAACTTATGAACCCAACAAATTATGACCATAATTTCAGGCTCAATTATGGTTATAACTTATAAGTCAAGGACCATTTGTTACCAACAGTTAGTCTTCATGCTGAATGGGAAAGTCTTCTAACTGCCAATTGTTCTTAACTACCAGTTTTAATTATGTAAAAGTGAATTAAATCAACTCAAAGTTTGACTGTCTAGGCATCAAGCAACAATTTTTGGACTGTAGCCCTAGGTATATCTAAATATCCAAATGTAAGAAAACATTGAAAACATTGTGCATTCCCATTTTATGATATCCTGTCGAGGTTTTCATGCTTGTATTCTCATTATTTGAGTCATAATCTTTATGCCTCCAGGTAGACATCAGAATAACCTGTTCTGATGTCCTGTATAAGCTGTCAATCAGGGGAAGGTTGTCTTGTGAAACTGAGAATTCTCTTTTCTTTGGGGGGTTCAAATAAGAGTGGATGTTCAACTCTCAGGTGTGAATTGAGAAGGTGATTCGGGTCGATCAATGTATTGTTGAGGGCAACTATAAGATGTAGGTGGACTTCAACCCCCAGCATGCTTCCTGGGAAATTCTGGGAGTTGAAGTTCACACATCTTAAAGTTGCTAAGGTTGAACAACCCTGTTACAGGCAACTTGGTGCCGTGCAGTTGCTATTTTCCAATCAGCATTAATAAGGTCAACAAGATGGGCTTCAAGAACCGGGACAATACTGAAAAGTCTTCTGCCCATGCTTGCTATAAAATAAGACAACAGGTGTTCCCCAAGCCATTTGGAGCATGCTATCTCTAAAATGCTCACCAACAGCTGAAACAAGAGGCGGGGGAAGCAAACATCAGAGGGAGAATGGAATATCTGGGAAGAAGATGTAGCTTGAACAAATGTGTTGCCTATTGTGGGGTTTTTTTTAATATCTACACATACAAAACCTTTCATGGACCAGCCCAGTCCCAAGTGCTAGTTGACTGCTTCCTTATGACCCACCGAAACACAACCTTTGCTTCACAACCAGGAACGATGAGCACTACTCAGGTGACCCTGAAGACACACAGATAAACCTCCAAGTGCTTCAATGACCCTCTAAGGATGCAAATGACCAGCTCCGTCTGCAAGGAATATAAATCCTTCCATTCCTCACTATCCTCTCAGAGCTGAAAAAGCTTCTTGGATAAGAAGCAAAATGTCTTCAAAAGAAAAAAAACAAGATACAATTGCCTCCTGAAAAAAAAAAGGCACCTTTGGGACAACCATGACCTGGATGACTGAGAATTTCTACAGAATTTTTGTGTCACAAGCTCAGACCATGCAAGACATCTCAATTTCACCCAGTCACCTTCTTCCTATGGCTCTTTAAGGACCCAAAAATATCTCCCAGGTTGCGGCAGAAGCAGAACTGATCCACAGTGCTGCAGTCACAAAGCTAGGGGACATAATGAGTTGCCAGTAGCACCCCTTGAATGTTTCACATTCGACTATGATACACACCAACCCACTCCCTCCACTGTTAGTAGCTTCTTCTACAGCCCCAATGGAGAAAGGGACCCACAGCTAGTCCAACTCTCCATTTCATCCAACTCAAGTCAGAGGGGATCAAAACTCACCTGGTGCTTTTGACATTCTCCAATCAAGAACTGCAAACAACAGGGTTACGATTCTGTCTATAAATTCAACCCCCAGCACTTTAGGGTAAGTCAAGACTGATCTTAAGTGAGCTTCACTGCTAATGACTACAGGAGCATCTCTGTCTCGCTTTCCAAGGTGAAGACTAGTTCTGGGTGTTGGAAAAAAAAAATCTCACAAAGTAATGGCAAATCTCTTTTGTTACCAAAGAATAGCACACAAATGTACTCTTCTGATCAGCAGCATTTGAAACTTCCTTAAGTTTCATCACAGGAGGTGGCAGAACATAGCCAACCTTGGTTGATCTTCAGGAAGCTAAGCAAGGTTGGAGCTGGCTAGTTCTTATATGAGATGAGAAGATACCAAGAGACACCAGGCTATTGGATAAAATAGCATCTGAGAAGAAAAAAAGTGTTGGCAAACTACTCCTGCTACAAGAAAATTGTAACTAGAAAACTCGACAGACGTCACCATCCATCATGAAGTTGTGCTTGAAAGTGGCACCCACAGGATTGCACCCAGGCATGCTTACCAGGGCATCAGGCGTCCAAAGCAAGTCCAGGAGCTTTTACTGATGAAGAAACCCACCAGGGGGTCAGTGATGGCATCCCACGCACGTCCCACAAAAAGGATGATGGATGCATAGAACGGGTCCATCTGTTAAACAGAAGAAGGGAAGAACCGCCATTCAACTCGAGGATGAGAGCTCATTCTCTCACTGTAAGTCATAAGGGAAAGAAAAGCAAATTGGTCTCTTGCAGAAAAAAAGGACAAGTAGAAACAAGCCAACCCACTGGGAAGAGAGCAAGGTAGGGCAAAGTGGAAAATTTGGTATTTGAACCAAATCCGTACATATGAACTCAAGCCAGTTTCTTCAGCAGCTACAGCTGCTGAAATGCTCTTGCTAACAGCTTTCTATCTCTTTCAATAAATACAGGTGATAGCAATAAGCATTAGACTTGTATACCGCTTCCCAGACGTCTCTAAGCGGTTTACAGAGTCAGCACATTGTCCCCAGCAATCTGACTCCTCATTTTACCCACCTCGGAAGGAAGGATGGAAGGCTGAGTCAACCTTGAGCTGGTCAGGATCAAACTCTTGAAGTGAGCAGTGAGTTAACCTGCAGTACTGCATTCTAACCACTGTGCCACCACGGCTCTTAATCCTTGACTTATGACCGTAATTGAGTCCAGAATTATGCTGGTTAAGTCATGCTGATTATTAAGCAGGTCATCATACACCTTTTTTGTATCAGTCGTAAACGAGCACTGCAGTCATTAAGTGAACCTATTCTCCACAATGGGTGAGGTTTTTTCTGCTGGCAATCAGAAGTAAATGCCTGTTTCCAGCAAAAAAACGTTATGAATCATGGTCAGGTGAGTGTGGGATGTTACAAATGGGCATAAATGCTGGCCAGTTGCCAAGCACCCAAAATGGGATCATGTGATAGGGAGGGGCAGCTATTGGAACTTTGAATCCAGGTCTTAAGTAGTTTTTAGGACTACCATAACTTCAAACAGTTCCTAAGTGACAAGTCTTAAGTTGAGGACTACTTGTGTGAGTCACTGTAGTTTTAATATTTTCTCCTGAGCTTCTCTAAGTGGGTCGAATTCTGTTTCTAGCTGAAACCTGGCATTGAGAAGTTGGAATCTGGAGATGCTTTTTTCAGATGGTGAAGTTATATTAATTGTCCCAAAGGTACTTTTTTCAAAAAACAACAACTGGATTTCTTTTGGGATTTTTTTCCCTTTAAAAATGTTTCGCTTCTCATCCAAGAATTCAGTTCTGGATGAGCTTCTTGGATGAGAAATGAAATGTTTTCAAAGAAAAACACCCAAGAAAGTCCAAACTTCATTTTGGAAAAAGCACATTGGGACAACCATGACCTGGATGATTTGAGTATCTCCATGGTCACATTAATTGCATGTTTAGGTCTGCCACCCTCAAGTTTTGAAATGTTGAGTTGCTGCATTCTTCACCCAAAGCTATGAACTTCTACATGCAATGAGGCTTCCAGGGACGACGGGGCCAAAATACAGATGGAACCAAATGTCAACAGTTGTACATAACATTAATTGTTTGGTTGGCCTTTGGGGGATTGTTGAACCAAGCCGGTGTGGCTTGTTTAACAAATTACAGTTCAAGCAAGCTGGGGCTTTGTGGGATGTGCGAACTCAAGTCAGTGAGTTACCAAGCAATAGGAAACATGTTGCTCTTCTCAGCAGGAGTTATTTACTGAAAGAGAAATGCCACTGAGAACATATAATCGAGGCAAGCAATGCACCACAAGAAAACAAGATGTTCTTCATTTGAGAACACTTGCCAGGAGCATGTAAAATGGACTGAACAATGCATTCAACAATTTGGTCGTATATCAGACTAGAAGTGGGGGTGAGGCCCTTGAATCAGTTCACATTAGGCCAGAGATTCTAGAGGCATTCTGTGCCCCGGGGAAACAAGGCACGAAAGGGGAGCATGATGTTCCAGCTAAGAGAAAAGCAAGAGGCACCCCTGCAATTTGGGGGTTCTTCCTTCCCTAAGCTGGCATCCTCTGGACCAAACCTGGGCATTTTGCAGCCCCAGGCCACATCCCGCTCTTTGGCTGTTCCTGTCTGGCCCACGGGAGGTCAATCGGAAATTAGAAATCAAATGTGAATAAGCATACAGCCCGATTGTTTTGGTTCTCCACAACAGCCTTGGTTTCTCATGTGGCCTCTTGGGAAAATTAATTGCCCAGCCCTGCTCTGGAGGAATGGGGCAGCCTATTTGCTATTGCTATGGCTTAGTAACTCCTGGAGGCCCTAAACAGTAATTACCATGCTTCTAAGATTTCTGGGAATTTGAATTCTACCACAACTGGAAGATTCTGGATGCAAGAAAGGTGCACTGTGTAATCCTCCACTTACAACCGTTTGTTTAGCAATTTGTCGGTTACCATGTTACAATTGCAATCATCCCTCACACTGATGATCACTGCAGTGTCCCCGCAGTGGTATGATCAAAATTTGGGCCCTTGGCAATTTATGAGAATTGCAATTTCCCAGGATCATGTGATCACCATTTCAAAACTTCCCGGCCAGCTTTCAACAAGCAAAGTCAATGGAATTTGCTTTAACAACTGCATGATTCACTTAACAACTGCGGCAAAAAGGCCATAAAACACTTCACAACCTCCTTGCTCAGCAACAGAAGTCCTCCTCCCAACTGGGGTTGTAAATCAAAAACTACCTTCACATGGCCCTGCAGAAGCCCTGGCATCCTGAGCTCAATAGGAAAGAGGGCTGCCCATAGGGTGGCTACGAGGGGCACAGCACTGAGACCAGATCTGAAAGAGCAACAAGAAAGTATCTCCGTATAGAAAGCTAGCACCTCAAGCAAAAGGCTATGCAAGAAACTTCCTTGAAAAGGGATGATTCTACACAGAGTGGAGCATGTAGGAAATTTTGCACGGAACGAAAGCTTTGGGGAGCTCTAGCCCCACGAAAACAGCTCTTAAAGAAAATCTATACTGGGTGTAAATCTGTAGAAGTGGCTCAGCCTAGAATTGAATCCAACACGGGTCCCAAATAAGTTTTGATTTGACCACCCTCCTCCCCCCCAGCCTCAAAGAGAGGACTGAAGCCAGTGAAGACTTACCTGCACCACGTCCAGCAAGTAAATCTGGAGAAAGAATCCCAAAGCACAACCAGTGATCTGATAGGGTGCTCCACCAATGGCATAACACACTTTGCTGCATATTGATAACTTTGCTTTGCTTTCTCTCTGGAAAAAAGAATTCGGGAGCAATGGTCAAAAGCTCTAGAAGAAAAACCAAACGGGAGTCACTCAGTATCAGTGTTTCTCAGCCTTGGCAACTTTAAGACACATGGACTTTAATTCCCAGAAAGTCGGCCGGGGAATTCTGGGAGTTAAAAGTCCATATGTGTTAAAGTTACCAAAGTTGAGAAATATTGCTCTATGATCAACAAATTCAATCCATCTTTAAATGCGCTCAACTCAGTTTACGAAATTAACTTATTTTCTGGATTCACACAATACACTGAACAGGAAATTGACCCAGTACTTTGATTTGTACTTAGTTTTAGAAAGGGAGAATTTTGTACCTTCTAGAGTCTCTTTAGCAATATCTGCACGTATCTTCCTGAGGTATTTATCACTCCTACTTTCTAGCAACAACTTTCTTTGCTCACCCTTTGCAAATATCCCAGCTCAAATAGGCAATAAATCTCACCAAGGACAGATAATAGAAGCTAGTCCAGAAAAAGTGGTGTTTGTTCACGCTTTCAACCCAACTGGGGTGAAAAAACAATGAAACACTTTCTCCCAGTGCCAGCAGGGTCTATGTCTGTAACAACCTCCCCATTCACTCAAACAACTCTGGAAATGCTATCAATAATTCTTACGACTGAAAAAGTTGAGATGTTGCATTAAAGTATTCAGCTTTGAAGTCCTCTCCCCTGTTGGACCCAACCAAGAAGTTAAAGCTGAGTTTTGAACACCACTGGATTTTTACCAGGGTTGATTATGTATGTTGGGGTGAACCCAGCAAGTGTGCATCATCTCCAAGAAGTTGCGGTAATCACACACCCAAACCAACCAATTGGTAAATGCAAGTGGTGTGAACTCAGAAGGATCATCGTAAACATATTGGCTGAAATCACAGGAGTGCTTTTTAGAGAAAATCTTATTTACAACACTCAATCCATGCTACTGTGCATTGTTTTGAAAGAGTTTGCCATTCCTGATTTAATTAGGCTTCTTTTCTGAAATTCAGCTCAGTTTTTACTAATGAAAAGGCATGTCACAAGTGAAAGAACAGTGAGATCCTTCCAGTTAAGAGATCCAGACACAAAGACTACCTTCACACCATCTTTAATCAGAGGTAGACAACTTGATGTTCTCCAGGTATTTTGGATACAGTCCAGCATTCTCTTGCCACTGGATATGCTGGCTAAAGCTGAATGAATATTTAAATTCAAAACATTGGGTGGGTGCCGTAATGCCTAGCCAAGTGCTATGCCCTGAATTCTGGCTTACATTCAATGGTTACCTCAAGATCAAGCCACAAAAGGTGGCCATGTTTGCAAAGCTGGACTACAATGCCGTTGGGTGTTCAGTCATTTAGTGAATCCAGCTATTGTTTAGCCACTTAACCCATAATGTAGTCACCCTAAAACCATCTGACAGAGCCCAACCAACTCTTCATCAAAACCCTTTCAGTGCTCAGGTTACAGATTAGAAACACCAGGTCTTAAGAGAGAATTGACCTTTTCTATTAAGGTTTGTTTCCTGGCCCTCCTGGTCAGTTAAACTGGCCATCCTGGTGAGAAGTGGAAACTGGGGTAAGAGAGCGCGAGGACGATTTTCAGCACTGAATTCCTCCATTCTTTCAAGACCTCTGCGTCCCAAGGTCACCTTCGCACGCATCGCATCGATAAGTCCCCACCTGACGCTAGAAATCGGGGCATTCCAGTCACCCATGGCTATGTGGGAAGTCAAACCGTGAAAAGCTGTCCTCGCATTTCAAAACAGGGATCCCCAAACTTGGCAACTTTAAGACTTGTGGACTTCAACTCCCAGAATTCTCCAGCCAGCTGGAATTGAAGTCCACAAGTCTTAAAGTTGCCAAGTTTGGAGGCCTCTGATATAGAAGAAGCTTTTCCAATAAAATTAAAACTCAAGGACATTCCAAGGCTGTTTGGATTTGCCACAGTTCTGAAATAGTGGTACTTAGACCAGTCCAGAAAGCTATGCTGGCTGGGGAATTCTGGGAATTGAAGTCCACAAGTCTTAAAGTTGCCAAGTTTGGAGGCCTCTGATACAGAAGAAGCTTTCCCAATAAAATTAAAACTCAAGGACATTCCAAGGCTGTTTGAATTTGCCACGGTTCTGAAGTATTAGTGGTACTTAGACCGGTCCAGAAAGCTATGCTGGCTGGGGAATTCTGGGAGTTGAAGTCCACAAAGTTGGCAAGTTTGGAGACTTCTGCATTAAAACCTCACCCCACCCCTGTCTCAAACAGCCGGGACGTCTCTGTAGTACTCCACACTGAGGCAGAAACACACACCCAGAGCCACGAGGCTTGAAAGAGAGACTTCAAGGGGAAAGTCTGCCTCCTTCCCCATGAATTATATATATATTTAAAGGAAACGAGCCGAGTGGCTCTCACTGGCTGTGAGGCGTGTGTGTGTGAGAGAGAACGAGAGCTCTTTTCTCGCCCATTGATGTGTACATTTTCCCCAAGAGGAAGTCGCACCAAGGGGGCCGAACCTTTCTCCTCACACCGTTTATGAATGAACTTGAACCGCGCGGGGTCTCGTAAAACTCTTAAGGCTGACTCACCGAAAAAGCCCGCTGGCTCTTTTGAAAAGAGGCCAAGCGGCTTTTCGGCGGCGTTAAAGCCAGCCCCTCTTCCGCTCTCTTCTCCTCAGCCCCCTTCGCTACTGCAACCCCCCGCCCCCGTTGACCCGTTCACCCCGTCCTACCGGGGGGAAAAGACTAACCTTGACCCGACGCCAGGGGCCAGCCAGCGCCTGCAGCAGAGCCATGGTGGATCGCCCGAGCCCGCTCGAATTTGAAGGCGCCGAGCCTTATAAGGGAGGCTCGTCCGCCCACCTCCGCCCCGATCCGGAGAGCGAGTGAGTGAGTGTGTGTGGGGAGGGGGGAATCCGGACGGGGTGGCCGAACGTCGCCTCCAGGACCCGTGTTTGGTTTTGAGGTGGGTCGTTTCATTGCCCTCCCGGTTCCGCTCGGGAGGAAAAGGAGGAGGAGGAGGAGGAGGAAGCGAGCGAGCAAGCGGCGCACACCTCAGACCCATCCCCGGGCTTTCGGGATCTCACCCCCCCCTCCCTCTTCTCCGGTCGATCGGCTGCACGTGGATCGCCCCAGCTGTTTTCTCGCCGTTGCTTCCTCGGGAGTAAAATCCTCCCTGGCTTCTTCTCAGCAGGGCCAGCTGCGCGCGCGGGTTTCCAGCCCCTCCGCGCGCCCTCGCGAACTCTTTTCTCCCCCCCCCCCCCCGCCACCCCGGCCCCCTTTTTCGCCTGCTCCGCCGTTGCCTTTCGCCCTTACTTTGGATCGGACCAGCTCCTCCGGTTTTAAGATGCTCGGTTGCAAGAGACCAGCCGAAGAGACGCTCTCAGCTCCTTCTCCTTTGGCCATTGGCAAGCCCAGGGGAATCGGCTCCGAATAATCCACTGGATCTCCGTGCTTGAAAGTTTTCCTTGCCTTTCCTGGCTTCCTTTTCTGTTCCTTTCCTTCCCTGCTTCTTTCCCCCTTTTCTTCCCTTCCCTTCTGCCTTTTCTTTGCCTTCCTCTTCTCCTCTTTTCTTATCTTTCCCTTTTCAGCTCTTTCCCTTTTTCTTTCTTTTCTTTGCTTTCCTCCTTTCCTCTTTCCTTTCCCTTTCTCTTCTTTTTTTCTTCTTCTTCTTCCCCCTCAATTCGCTTTCAGACGTTTCTGTCCCGGCGCGGGAAACCTGCTTCTCCGGGAGCAGCGGCGGGACAGGCTCAGACGATCGGAAGGCTGCCGTGTGCCCGCCTCGGAAGAGCTCAGCCGGAGAGGGGAAGAATGAATGAATGCGCCCCTTTCTCCGGCGGACGGGATTTTTTTTTTTTTCCGCGTGCCGCCAGCCGGGGCTCCACCCCAGGCTCGTTAACGGGGGAGGGCGCTCGTGGCCCAGCCCACCCGCCTCTGCCGGAATTAGAAACACCTCCTCCCCCCGCCCAAATTCTCGATGTCTTAAGGGAGCCAATCCGGAGCCGAGCCTCTGAAAACACCCTCGCCTTTCCCACTGTGGGACAGCCGGCAGCAGGACTTGCCTCCTTCCAAAGACGCGGGCTGCGAGAAAAAAAAAAAAACACCAAAAAAAAAAAAGAAAAAAAAGAAAAAAGAACCCGACTTCTCTTTTCTGTCTGCTTGGTTAAAAAAAAAAAATCGAAAGAATGCAGCCTTTTTCTGAGATGCAGGGAGTCCTCGAGGTAGCACAGTTCATTTAGTGACCGTTCAAAGTTGCAGCAGCGCTGCAAAAAAAAGGAACTCAAGGCTTACAACATGGCAGCTTTGCATTTCTCAGGCTTACAACATGGCAGCATCCCTGTAGACGCAGGGGGTCCCCAAACTTGGCAATTTGAAGACTTGTGGACTTCAACTCCCAGAATTCTCCAGCCAGCTCTGCTTTATGGACCAGTCTATTCCAAGGCTGTTTGGATTTGCCACAGTTCTGAAGTAGTGGTACTTAGTGGTCCATAAAGCAAGAGCTGGCTGGAGAATTCTGGGAGTTGAAGTCCACAAGTCTTAAAGTGTCCCTGGGAACATGTGGTCCCCTTTTGCGACCTTCTGTCAAGCAAAGTCCATGGGGAAGCCAGATTCACTTAACAACCATGTTTCTAATTTAACGACTTGAGTGATTCACTTAACAACTGTGGCATGAAAGGCTGTGGAATGTGCAGAAATGAATAGATTGACATTGGCAATTAGAGAGCAAGAAGAAAAAGAATATTATAAAAGATGGGATTTATTTTATCAATGGCTAGATAAGAAAACAGAGAAATAAAATACACTATAATATACCGTAGATATAAAATAATAGTAAAGATGATACATTGAAATGATATCTTATATTTGATTATTGTGAAATGAATGATATTATGAACTAGACGTTGTAAAAGTTGAGATTCACTCGAAAAGGATGATATGAACTTATAATCAAAGTCTAATAATGGTTTCATAGCAATATAATATGATATGGATAGTGATTTACATAATATGAACTTTAAGGTTAGGAGAGAAAGACTGTTAATATTGTGCACAAGGGATATGTACCAACCGACACACTGTACAATGGAAAGATGGTTTTATTTGATGTTTTGTGTTTGTGTTTTGTCTATGTTTGTTATCAAAATAAAATAAAAAATTCTTTAAAAAAAACAACTGTGGCATGAAAGATCGTAAAAAGGGCAAAACTCAACAATTGCCTTGCTTGGCAATGGAAATTTTGGGCTCAGTTGTGGTTGTAAGTTGAGGATTTCAATAATTTATTCATCACATTTTAACACACCGACCTTCCTCACAAGTAATGCAGTGTAATGCAATGAATATCATATTCTGCATTTTCACTTGAGGCAAGTACAGTATAACTAACCATAGAGTAGAGCCTGAGTTTGACCCTCACTTTAATCCTGAAGCCTTTTTAGCCATCATGCTTAATCTGGTTGTTGAATCAAGCAGAAATCAAGCCAAGACTAAAATTAACCAAAGTTGCAAGTTACGGCCGCTAAATTTTCCATTCATCTGATTAAGTATGTTGGGTAAATAAGCACAAACTAATTTATGGATATTTTAATCAAGCCTGTCACGTGAACATCCAACTAGTTTGGTCCATTTGAGGGTCAGTGGATTAGGCAACTCCTCAATTAATCGGATTAATTGAGAAAGCCGTAGCTTTGTTCCTTGTGTTATGAAAACTTCCAAGGAACACCTTGCTCGATGAGATAATTAAGCTTCTGAGATGCCCATAAAGAGTATGGAGTTTAAGATCCGTAACTGGGTTAAGGATCTCGGTTTTTAAACCAGAGATTTCTGAGAAGAGAAAAAAATTCAATTTCAATTTCAGATTTTGGAAATTTTTAATTTTAAAAATATTCTTCACTTCAAAATACTGTGGAAAGTCAGTGAATGCCATTACGCCTGTGGTCAATTAATTGTTGGCCTTCAGGCTAAATCCTGAATTTCACTGATTTCTGGCTTTGCATGAAGTGTTCCTGCAGGTTCGTTAAACAAATGATGGTTGTTTTTAAAAAAAACTGTCTTAGCATTGTTTGCAAACCAGCCTTTCCATAACTGACCAGCTGACTTTCAGCCATAAATTGGTCACATCCATTTTAAAAAGCCTTTCAGGTTAGTGGTTGCTGTGGTAATAAATTCCACAGTGTAACCATTCACCCGCTCTTCCTTTTCCCTGAACAAAGACAGTGTGCTGGTAACTTTGTGAAAAGTAAAGGAAATAGCCAATTGGGGTATTAACAAATACGGAACAAGATTGTGGCTTAAGACTAATAGATGTACCCATTCCGACAAAACAAGACAGTGTGCAAATTGTCAAACTTTGCACTAGTACTTCCTCAAACCAATGCCTTTTCCCGAAGATCTTTCAAAAAAAGAGCATGCTCGAAAAAAATGTTAGAGACCAGAAACGTCATATGAGCAGGCAGGTTTTACACCTACTTGTCTTTCTTTGGGTAGAATAACCAGTATGGAATGTAGTGGACATAGTGTACCTTAATTTCCGCAAATCAGTAATAGCAATAGTAATCGCACTTAGACACATATACCGCTTCATAGTGCTTTACTTTACATTGCGGTCATATATCAAGGACTATCTGTAGTGAAAAGAGCAGAAGGAGAAGCAAGAGAGCGAGAGCAATATTGCTTCTTACAGCTGTGGTGAGAGCTTTGGAAAGAATAGACAGGAAACCGCTTTTCCTTTGCAAAGACGTGGGTGAGTGTGAAAGATGCCCTCTGCAATTCTTAGAAAAGATTTACACCAGCTTGGAAAAATATATGGGCGTATTTATGGTACAGCAATAGAACTTTTCTAACCTTCTGCCTCTTCTAAGCTCCTTCCTACTTAAGCAGAGGAAACTTAAACCTTAGTAGGGTAGATGTGGGAAGAGATTTGCAATAGCAATAGCACTTTGACTATATGCCAGTCCATAGTGCTTTACAGCCCTCTCTAAGCAGTTTACCGAGTCAGCGTCTTGCCCCCAACGATCTGGATCCTCATTTTACTGACCTCAGAAGGACAGAAGGCTGAGTCAACCTTAAGCTGGTCAGGATTGAACTCCTGGCAGTGGGAATGCAAAGTTAGCCTGCAATGCCACATTCTAACCACTGCGCCACCACAGGTAAAGCCTCCACGGAAATCTTAGGAGAGAACATAGTAAAATGAGGACTGGATTATGCTACCATTAAATGAATACGGAGTTGGCTGCACCTTTGTCCCCATCACTGGTTCTGTGTCAAGCTGGAAGGAAGCATCGAATGTACATCATTGTTCTGACCTAGGCTTTCTAAACTATAATTATTCACAAACTTGTTTTAAAAACAAAACCTATTTTATTGCAGCACTGGGAATTGTTTTCATTCCCAGCCGGAATTAAGCTCAAACAGTCCCCCAAGATAAGCACACACCTTTCAGTTCTGTAAAGTGATGCCAAAACAGAAGTAAAGCCCAGTTCAGCTCCAACAACAACGCTTCCTGGAACTTCTCCTTGTAGCACTGAGCTCCTTGGCTTTTATTTTGAAATCCAGCACTCTTGGGCTTCAGCGCTGGATTTTAAAAGGCAAGCAGCTCCTCAGTGCTACAAGTGCCGGGAAGCCAATGAATTAGTTAATGAAATAATACCTTTAAACTACTTTCTCTCCCAGCAATCTCGGCTGAAGCAGAATTAAACCATATCTGCACCTTTGTTTTCTGAATGGATTTTATAGGAAGGAGGCTTAATTTCACATGCACGCACACCAGCCACTTCCCACTCAATCTATCTCATTTAGGAAGTATCAAATTAACTAGAAAAGAAACCAACCGAAATTCAAGAAAAACCAACTGAAGTACCAAGAGCTTCAAGGATGACTTGGAACTGATCGAACGACTTTGCTTCCTGCAAAGGTTTTGTCATCTTGGCCTGGCTTTTATCCCTAATGGGAGGGGCAATTACCTCCCAGCCTTACTCCTGAGTTGCCCCTTTTGTTTCAGCTGCTCTCGCCTTCTAGCAGCTCTGCACACACACGCACACTGGGAACAGCCTCCCCTTGTTCCTCTGCTTCGCTGCTGCCAGACTCCAAAGACTCCGAAGGCAGCACCCCATTCCCAGGTGGTCCTGGCCCCATCTCTGCATCGGGTGCAGGACCCTTGTTCGTGTCCTCTCCAGACTCCTTACTGGTCCTCGTTCTTCCTCACTGCCTGATTCTGCTGCTGTCTGCACAGGCTGCCGGTAAACCACAACAATCATAGAGTTAAGACTTTTTTGGTCTCAGTGTACAGGTAATCCTTGACTTATAACCACAGTTGGGACCAGAATTTCCAAGGCTAAGCAAGATGGTTGTTAAGTGAATTGTGCCAATTTTATCACCCTTTTTGGCACAGTTGTTAAGTGAATCGTGTGGTCATTAAGCAGTCTGGCTTTCTCACTGACTTTGCTTGCCTGAAGGTCATGAACAGAAACCACATGACCCCGGGATGCTGCAACAATTGTAAATACATGCTGGCTGCCAAGTGCCCAAATTTTACTCCTGTGACTGTGGGAATGCTGCTATGGTCATAATGTGAGGACTGGTTATCTGTCACTTTTTTCAGTGCCATTGCAATTTCAAACTGTCACCAAAAATATAGTCATAAGTTGAGGAGTGCCACTATGCATAAATGACTTGGATGTGGAATTAGAAAATATGATTATAAAATTTGCAGGAAACGGAAAAACAAGGAGAGTAAACACGTTGGAGGACACTATCAAGATTCAGAAGAATCTTGACAAGCTGGAATATTGGACAGACAGGAGGCAGGTGAAATTCAGCAACGGAAAGGCAAA